GCTCAGGTCCCACTTGGCGACACCTGAAGTTGTTCAGTATCCTCCTGGATCCACATTCTTCACATACATTTTACAATCCACATGTATCATACATTTGTCATCATTATTTGTATATATTATGATTCTGTTGGTCTGTACATCTATTACATGCCCGTCTGTCCTGGCAGAGGAATCCCTCCCCTGAGGCTCTACGTGAGGGTTTTCTTCCATTTTCCAATGATAAAAGGTATTTTTGGGGGGATTTTTTTTCCTTACCTGAACTGAGCGTGTGGACTTTCCCTCCCTACATCATAGTTTCACTAGATGGTGCCATTCTCCTTTCCATGCAGGCGAGAGTGCAAGAGCTATAGAAACTTCCTGATGTCAGCTGATCATGAATCCATGACCTTATGTTCTCTTATGGGGGTAATCTTAAAATGAAAGGGTCACAAAGAAAATAATTTCGACACAAACAAATTTTGCTGGCAGTTTGCAATTGATAAAAAGGAAGGCAACTCTCGTTTATATATTCTCTTCTATTCACTATCTATGGTTTGTTATCTTATTATAAATAGAGGTCTATTTTATTGCCTCCTATTGTTGGCTCTATGTTTTGGATCACAGTGATTTCTTACTGCCAATAGAGTCTGATGTTACATTACAGGATCAATGATGGAATTGACCAATCGGCAGGCTGAATGTCACAGATTTCAGACGGGTTAAGTTGGTGTGTGTGTGTTTGCCTGAATACTCACATATCTAACTTTATTAACCTTAAAAGGGCCTCACTGAGACTGAAAAATGTGTTTTACAGAAGTGTCCTAGTAAAAATAGAAGTACCACATGAACAGGAAAAGTTAAGTACAGCTTTCTTTTCTTCTTTCTTTTCATGCTTTTTCCTTCTGCTCGAAGATAATATTCTTTGGAGCTGAGAAAAATATATTAATTAGTGCCAAAAATACATCCAGCTGTGCCAAATATTCTCATCATCCAGTCAATCTAAGAAAAATGCTTCCCCCCCGAAACTCAACTCCCCGACATAGCTGATGCCCTATCCCCATCACCCCCCTCCTGCCTCCCAACAGCACCACCAACCACACACACAACACACACACACTCAAAATGAGAGTTAACCCCATCAAAAAGGACGGTCTCCTACATGCGCGGCCCCCATTTCCTCCTTCAACCTCAACCTCCCAGACCAAAGAGGCGGTTTCATCATTTGGTAATTAATATTCTGGGGAAGAGGAGAGCATCAGGAAACAATTATGCAATAATGTATGGATGTAAATGCACACTGTGTCCACACAAAAACACACAAATGCACAAGCACAGATATATCACCATGATCGACTCTTCCTCTCTTCCAAGATCAAGTTTCTTTCATACACAACTGGAGTGAATGTAATGAATGTGCTGGATGGAAGTTGAAATATAGCATTTGAAATATTGTGTTCTATATTTTACTATAGTATGTTTTTAATGTCTCTTGCTCTTCTGCAGCCATAAAAATCCAGCAGGTTTTATGAGTTAATGTAAGCTGATGCACTGATGCAACACAAGATAATTCTTGTATAATATAATTCTATCAGCGTGTTTCTGTATCTGCCTTTATCAAACAGAGGAAGGAAGCCAGCTCTTACAACTACAGAGAGATATTCCAGCTTGAACACTGTGTGCACTAAAGCTTTCTTTATTTTATGAAACAGTATAGACACGATATGACAACTTTTAAGTGTGAATGGTTGAGAAACGTCATGACATGAAAATATATAAATATATTGATATTTAACATATGACACCACAAGA